AATGATCTGGATAATAAACTATTATGGGCGATTTGCTGTTAATAATAAAAATTATATTTGGCGACTTTTAAGAAATATGCACCAGCCGGGGTACATACACGGGGTACGTATTTGTCGTGGGAGTGTCATCGGCGTGCTCGAGAGGTCCCCAATGACGTCCCCGGGGACCCGGACGACATCGGCAATACCAGATTTGGACTCAGCGTGAGAGAGAGCCCCCGAACACGATATTTTAGTCGTCCTGGTCGTTGCGGTCGGTCGGTCGGCCAAACCGTATCTTACTTTGACAGCCCCTGTAGGGTAGGCAATCAGTACACAAACTATCCCTTAGGTTTGGGGGGGCCCCCGGGCCCCATTGTGTTAGTTTTGATGCGTCCGGGGCCTTTCGGCGAGCCTTTCAGCTTGCCAGGGATTATTGTCAGGGGGACCACACATTGAAAATGGCAAGCTACATTTTTGATGACATTTATGTCTTTGGTCAGAAAGTAATTACAAAGAAAATTCTGAGAAGACAAAGGAGTTTATTACTTCATGTAAGGGTGTGGATATCAACAATCTATCCACACAAGAAACAAAAATTAATGTATCAGTCAAGCAGCAACATAAAAAAATACAAGCCAAAACAAATGAAAACAAACATTGACAGTGACAGTACCAGTTTACCACCTTATGACCGACCAATGCTATAGTACAGAGAGATACAGAAAAATGCATAAAAAACAGCATCACTAGAATTCCTTGAGCAAGTCATTTAAAAGAAAATTACTACAGCATTACAAATGTCAATGTTGCAGTCTGGAAGAAATATACCTATTCATTTTGAAAGCAGCTTCCTGTAGTGGTACATTTTCAATCCTTAAAATCTTGCTGAGTACAACTCAAGATAAAATGCATAAATAGAACAAAACAACAAACATTTAGAAGACAATACTACTCAGGTAACTTCCCAACACATACGGTAATTTAAGAAGTTAAAAATAATGGCATCAGAGTAAAGAATATGGCATGGCAGCAGCATAAACAGATATGCATGTTTGATGCACTTACATGCATTCCAATAAGAGTAACTTACTGAGTAAAATACTTCTCAGGCCCAACTTTCACATCTGTTTAGTTTAAATAAAAGTGTTGACAAAACAACAAAATTGACAAAGCACAAAAACAGTGACTAACAAAGCTTAGGTTCATAATACTGTAGGCCACAGTTTTCCAAATGTAATGTTTGAACATTGGTCCCCAAAACAACTTACAACTTCCCAAGTCATTAGGAGGCTCTAACCAAATACTTTGTTGGGTTCAAAAGCATAATGTAGGTATTTACACACAAAACTCACATGCACATGATCCCCACTCACCTTCAAAAGATCCAAGGAAAGCCTAATAACTTGCACCTTGTATTTGAGGAATGGAAATTACCGAGGGGTCATTTGTCTGGATGCAAGTAAATACTGAAACATTTTCAAAATTCTGGTGCATTTCTAACGAGGAACTAAACACTTTCAAAAATTCTAACAGATAATGAGAAACATACAATATTTGTTTCATATTCTATATTTTTGGTGAGGGGGGAAAAGAAGCACTAGATAAAATTTGAAACTGCATTAAAAAGAAAATTTAGAGCACATTATTCAAAGAAACTGTGATTCCCCATATGGTGACTTGAATACATCTTCAATATATAAATGAGGGTTCACACAGCCCATCTCAAATACACACTACAAATTCATCACAGATTTCTAGTAAGTTTGGACTAAATAGAAAAATGAGAACAATATTTCCTGGTCAAGGATTGAAAACAAATAAATGAACAGAAACACATTGTTTTGCACCTCTGTCTAATGACCAGAAAGTTATTTAAATGTATTTTCTCTTAAAGTATATTATAATAAATAAAATAACAGGAATGTATTTAACACCTTAAACTGGATCAACATTGAAGATTATGATTTATAAGTGCATCTTGACTAAGGTTGGAAGAACGCTCACCGATGAAGAAAAAACTGGCATCAGAAGAAACAAATATAAATAAATCTATCAGAATAAGCATCTACAGAACGAAATTGTGTTCTCTGTTGACAGGTACATATGATTTTAAAGGATAAAAATACACTATGGGGCTAGGTAGTGTTATTCCCCATAATTTGAAAAACCAAATACAGTAAACAAGAGATAACTGTACCTGGATTTAATTAGATTTTAAAATAGAAATTTGTGTAGGAAATCCTACTTACAAGGAAGTTAGCTTAAGAGGCTGTGATGTTGTATGAAAAGTAGTTTGACAATACTTTTCCAGTACGTAGGTACTCAATCTAAGATCAGATGAATGAGATTCAAATATCGGTTGGAAGAATATCTGGTATCAAGTATTTGCAGAGCTCCTCTTCACTGCTGACAAACAGAACTTTGCTGGATGTATTTTCATCGAGCCTATAACAGTTGAGGAACAAATATTAACAGAGATTTTTCAAATCACCAAGACAATAAAAAATGGGTACGAGTTAAAAATTCAAAATAGAACACAAGTAATTATTGTATGATCTATTGAGATACTCACCATCCTTTGATTACAGCCCAACAGCCAGAAAACAGAGTAGGAGCATTAAGGATTAAGCATACGCCCAGACGCTCTGGATAATGCTTACTGAGAAGCCAAATCAAATTCTTTAGAACTTGGTAGTCCATACAGCTCAGCCCAAAGTCACGAAGGTCAAACACAATGCACAAGTTGTCCACAACCTCCTCAAAGCATTTTTTGCTAGCTTCTTCCTGTAATTATATGCATATTCCATATTTTACCAACATAAATACATCATCACTTTTAAGAACATCTTCAAGAAAAATAAGAGGAAGCTAACATACCAAACAGTAGACAATGAATTTGGTAAGTTCATCAATATCTCTGTCGTTCACATTATGATTCTTAGCAGGGATGTAAACAACTGGACGACCACTCATGTCACGGTGTCTCAGTACTCTAGCTTTGTTTTGCTCCATGTGTTTTTGAACGAGGGGATTATCTTCTGTCAGCTCTGGAACGCCATAGTCTACACGCCATTTATTTGTTTTCAAGATTGCCTACAACGAATAGAGAGAGAGTAGTTAGTTATTGATTGACATTGTTTATCAAAATAACGAACATGCAGAAGAGAAGTTTAAGTGATTACCTGAAAGGCACTGTCCACAGTTTTAAAGGCTCGTAAGTATCGCTTCAATGAAAAATCATTGTGATATTGTTGAGGGTCAGCATCCGAAATTATTTTCATTCTCTCCTTCAATGCTTTGAGATCTTCCTCACTGACAGGCTGTGATGAGTTGGTGGAAGCCATGATTATTATCCCTGAAAACTAAAATACACAGTGAGGAGGAGGGAATCATCAACGATGCATGATCTGAATTAAAAAGGGGAGTTGGGGAGTTGCTGTCAACTACTCATAGCAATAGCAATAGCAATACCAACACCCAAATAAATAACGGATCAATGAGCTCATAGAGCTGGATTGAAATGTGAACTCTAACCTATCTTTCACATAAACTTATCATTAATTACAGGTAAAGAAATAATCTAATCAGAAAATTTGCGAATTGAGCTGTACTTATTTAGATAAGATGGTACTAATAATTGTCATAGGTCTCCCCAAAATATCACGGCGTTCAAAAGTAAATGTACGAGAGGGAGAGTCCCTTTAATTCAAAACAATCGATAGACTCACAGAAACAATTGTGTCAATAACTACAATCCACAACGTACTTCATCTCTAAATTCAACTGCAGCATAAAGATTACCTCTTTTCGGTTCTGAGCTCCAAAGAAACTAGTAAAATGTCAAAAAGTCCGCAGCAGACGGCCACCATCTGTTGATATCGAGGATGTGGAGCAGGACCTAGCGCTGCCTCCTGTCTGAGAAAGGCTGTGGGTGGGAAAGGGGGTGGGTGTGGGTGGCAGGGATGCGGGGTTGGATAAAAAATAAATGGAGAAGGGGCAAGGGCAGAGGGGTGGGGGAGATCGGGGAGATGGGCTAGTAAGGCTAGGATCTAGGATGCGGCAGATCACTGATCAGCACTGCTATATCCACGAGACTAGAATAAGGATCCAGCTATCCAGCTCAGAAGGACTTTTTGGTAGTCAGCTGGTTTTCGTTTATCGTTGTCTAGTGACTAAGTGTGGCCACGCATATTTATTTTGAATTAATTAATTAATTACGTTTTTAAAAGGAGTGCTAAAATGAGTGGTAATTTTACTGGTATGAGAATCCTTAGACCAAACCACCAGATTATATCAGGACTGTTCTCTAAAGACTTCCCCTTGGACAGCAATAATTGAGAAAGAAGTAATTCTAAGGCACAAATTTGTGTCAAGTTATGGATGTGTATTCTGAGTTGTCTGTTTTCATGTTCTTTTTCTGTTTGTACTGGAGGTAGGTGACGAATAAAAATTACTACAGACATTTCAAATAAATCAGTCTTTATTTTCTCTGTGCAGCAGGTTCTTCTATAAAGTATCACTGTAAACCTGGAAGAAATTTATTTAGCAGGAAGCAACACTAAAAATAAATTTTGTATCAACCTATGTATTTACACTTGAGTTATGCCGGGCTAGAGCCTGATCATACAGACTGTTAAATAATAGGGATACAAAACCTGCAGCGCTATTAGTTAAATGCAGAAAAAGGAATTGGCTACACCACTGTGCTATTGAAAAGTTTCATTAGTTCATGTTAGTCCTCTAAATTTAGGAATTGGGGAAATAAGGGAATGAAAAAAAAAAAAGGATGCAGGGAGGTGGAGGTGAAAAGCACTTTTAGATTGATGGTGTTGCAAAAAAAATAAATGGCAATTCCAGAATGAAGCAAGCAGCCAAAGAATGTCTTGACTTTAAAAAAAATATATCTGTATTATAGCAGCACTGCTGAGGCAATGTGCATATCATGCCACAAAGTTTTGGGGAAATTCAACAATGAATTTCAACACATAAAATAAAACTTTAATGTATGGCACAAAACAAATACTTTGTTGGCATTGTTGATTATAATTGAGCAAATAATGTACAAAATAGGAGGAACATTGTCAGTAATATTAGAGATCTCTTGATTAAGAATTCTAAATGTGGGATATACCTCATTCACTTAAAATTCAGTTGCATCAATTGGGGGGAGAAAAAGATTCTCATTTGATATAAAATACTTTACAATAGGTATCAAAAATAGTTATTTCTACCTAATATTAAGTTCATACCTGAGTGTACAGATAGGAGATCACGCTTTCCTTGACACTGCTGGAGGAGGAGGTGGTGGCGGTGGCCTCTGAAACCAGCTGAAAAATAAAGTAGACATGTTTTGTTAATTGGTTAGAAGATAAAATTTTTATCACAGGATGAGCATGACAATAATGCATGCTTCTCAGTCTAGGAGACCACAGCTAATGGTAAATATTAAGTTGAAACAATTGAAAATTTAGATTTTGTTTGAAGCTAACAGGACTAAACTGCTACAAGTCTAAAAGGACAAAATCTACAAAGTTGCTGAACAAATTATTAGGGAATTAAAATAAAAAAGTTGTCAAACTGAAGTTGACCATAGCCACTCAGGATTAGGTATATTTAGCAACATGAAGCAAGGCAGAAGAACCTCACACATGACCCAATTCCAACATGTGCAGACGATTTGTCCCTTTTACCCCATCGTTAAGCACTCAAGATTGAGACACTCCCAATCACATACGAAAACCTTACAAATGGTTCGACGGCAACGCTTGACAAAACGCAGGTTAAAATCCACGCAACACCTACCTTCCGCATCACCCGTAAACGCCCCGCCGCTAGTAGTCGCTTTGCGTTTCGCTCGGTGGTGTCGACTTTGTCGTCCAGTCCGCTGTGCATTGGATGCTTTTACTCAACACACTGCCACTCAGCAAGCTGCTTCCTGCTTTCAGGAACTGGATACTGAAGAAAGGCAAAGCCTTCCTCCTAAATCCATGCATCAAGGCTAATAATGCACAATAATGTGCATGACATTACCAGGATGACTCCTATCACAAAATTGAGTCAGCTTGCTTAGAGCATGAGAGTGTGAGTAACTCCTACGAGATATCAAAGAGCCATGCGCTGGCTTCGGAAGGTTTTTTGTGAAATCTGCTAATGTTTTGCAGATTTCAGGTGTTTAAGGAGCGAAAGGACAAGTGTAATTCGCAGTGCAAAATTAATCACTGACATTTGAATGTCAAGACTTGGACATCATCAGTGACTGCTGATTTTAGGGAACACTCATAAGAGTGAACCACATGATCAGTAAGGTCTGAAGATTGATTTAAGTTGTCCTTGTCTTGACCAAGCACACATATGCTCAGTTGGTACATTACATCATTGGTACATCCCCACAAACCTTCCCCATATATTGAACACCTGAGGCTCGAACATCATGGCTAATGGAACAGGTGTGGTTGCAACACAAAATCAAAACAGCTCATTTGAACTAGAAGACCTTCACCAATGCCAAGTAGTCAAAGAGAGTAAAGAAAAGTGACATCAATTAGAATTGCAGCCAAAAAATTTGAACACCAGAGGGAAAAAAAAGAGTTGAGTAAATGAGCATCCTGTGAAAAATTCACACAAAACAGCAATGGTGAAGGAAAAATTCTGTTCTACAAAATCCTATTTAACACACAAGCATCATCACATTCAAAAACCATGACGTTGAAGCCAGAATGGGTGTCAAAATGGAAACAGCTCATGAAAGGGATATAACATAACATGAAGATGGTCCGCTCGTGGGGATGGATGTTTGTCATCGGCGAGTGGCACGGCTTGCCAATGTGGGGATCTGCGAAATCTCTACTCGGGTAACAGGACATTCAACAGTCGAGACTTACAAAGGAAATTATTTATTTTACGGCTCTATCGAGTTACATGAAAAACAAGCTTTACATACATTGCGTGGAAGACAGCCTTCCAAACTAAGGAGGCTGATGTACAAAATAGATCGACGGTTTGCATTTAAGATTATGAATACTTCCGTGAAGCAGCGCAGTGATCTAGATTAGAACTTGAATCCTACACCTACACTAATTTCGTTCATGAGCTTCTTGCCGGCAAATTGCAGTTGTCGAGATAAAAAAATATTACATGGTCTGCTCGATTGACTTAATCATTATAATAAAACAGAAGACAAATCTCGAAAACATTTGTCATCTATCTCGCTTTTATAAATCAAATTTAATTAAATTATGGCAATTCTACCCCATTTACTAATAACTAAGAAATAGCAATGATGATGAATTGCCTGTTCGTAACTAAATGCACTTCTCATAAATAAAGCAAATCTAAGAAAATCTTAAGATGAAAACAGTGATATATAGAAATCCTGGCACAAGATTCGCTGTCCACGATGAGTGCCGGTTCTCGCACCTACGCCGAGCAGAATGTAAATCCTGCCAGCGTCGCACGCGAACATCGATCACGACGCTTAGTATCGTCGCGGCTGCATATCAGGGTAGCTACGGCATACAGACATAACGCACTGTGTTAACGCAGTTAAAAGAGGATCAGTGAAGGAAGGGACGGCCAGTGCAGGGAACAAGGAATGCCCTCTTTGAGGAAATCTGTTGCACCACTGGAATACCATGTAGTGAAAATTACTACATGGTACCAATAAATGCAAATAGAAATTCAACTTCAGAATAAAATTGCAATGCACCGCACAGTAATTGTTCCAGACAGCTGGCCTGATCGCAAGAACAATAGCAAAGGAAAATGAAGTCATCCAGATACCATAAATATTGGCTTGAGGATAAAATCAGTCCCAGTGGTATAAAAACCACAAATGTAAAAACCACGGATTATTGGCTATTGGGAAGGAATTCGGAAGTGAGTAGGCATGCAATTACTACAACCAACAACCCAAACAAAGCCAAATGTGAGTTACGGGGGACCCTAAGAGAACAGATTGTCAAAGACCGGAACTGAACGGTACCAATCGAAAATATAGCACGGACGCAAGAACGGTAGTATTGAAATCGGTGCGATCAACCCTATCAATACACTCAAACGCAAGCATTCGATCGCCGAGAGTGTGATCACCGCAGCAACTGTCAGACGCTTCGCAAACGCAGCATTTTCAAGTTTCGCAAAGATTTTCTAGGTCTAAAAGAAGGCCAAGAATTGAATGTCTCATACTAATCATTTAACAAAACTAGAGCGGTTCTATCATCAGCAAAGCAAGTTGAGTGATATCAAAAGAAAGGTAAAAAATCTGAAAGCCAGGAAAAGTATGAACTTTGCTGACAAAGAACCACTTGTCTCTGAGAGACAGGTACCATGACTGAGACATTACTATTCTGTTTTATAAAGGCCACTTGAAAGTAAGAGATTAAACTGAAGAACAGGGTGCAGAATAGGTACATGTCACATTTCCCATTGCCACAAAAAACATACTAGGGTAAATTTGGAGGCAAAATAATTCAAAATGCATACAATCACAAAAAGATGGCATAGTTGTAGCAAGACTAAGTAATGCTCCAAGGCTACAAAGCATAAGCATTCTCCAAGCATGTAAGCATCTCTCACAAACAGAATCTAAAAATCATCTCACCAAACAGCAATCAACTAGGTATTCATGCATAGGTATCATAAAGTTGACCTTTACCATTGGGAATCTAGAGCCAAGGATGTCCATGTGGTCATATGGAGTTATTCCACACAGGACCAAGTCTTGAATGTTAACTGAAAAATTTCAAAAGTGTCAGACTACCTTGACAACTAGAATGCATAGTCCATGCAATACCAGAAAATATATGATTCATAGCCATCTAAAAATAGTACAGGTTTCCTCAAATACGACAGTTGAGATAAAATAAGATACATAATTACAGATACTACTCACAGAAATTAGTTCAAATAAATTGATAGTGCAACTTGGAAGTTAAAAGCAATGGGTCAAAGATTCAAATAGGATTCTTTAATTTTTATTGACGAGATTGAATTAGAGGAAAGGAATAAGAAAAATGGAAATTTAAAGTAGTACCATAGACAGATGTAAAAAAAAGCTTGATATTAATTTTAATAGTGACAATGTGATAAAACTATTTGAGGTAAGATCATATGTAATAGAGGAAAGGCTATTGGAAAAAATGGGATTCTAGCAGATTGACAATCAAGTACTGGCAAAAGAAAGTGGAAATTATAAAACAACTTCAGTAAGATAAAGGCATGAATACAAAATAAACAAACATATTTAAAAAAATTATTTGAATGCATGATTATAACATTGAAACCCCACAGGTACTCAGGAAGAAACATGCAGAATCATGCTAGTAATGCAAAAGCAACCAAAAATATAAAGGGAATCAACTGCAGGTTATTATACTTTGGACCATTTTAATGTTAAGAGAGAAAATACATACCATCTCATCACCTTCACCAATGTAACAATTTGGAATGTATCTAGAACAAGATTGAGCATGCATGCACCTAAAGCAGATATGAGGCTCACCCAGTGCTGTAGGCAGGTTGGGGTGGTGGAGGTGTTCTGCGGCTGAACATATCAGCACCACCACCACCTCCCATTCGAGCAGCGGTGTAGTCTCGGCGGTCATAGCCTGCAGGTGCCATTGCAGTTCTATCATAGCCGTCACGAGCAGCAGGAACTTGGGCCATGTCACGTCGCTCATATGGTTGCCTCATGTCTGCATATGCACTTCGATCTCCCTCTCGGTATGCACCAGCACCATACATGTCACTGTATACACATTATGAGAAAAAGCAAGAATTAGAAAAAGAATTATCTTTAAAGACGCAGGTTTAATATACTACAAATAAAATTAAACATTGCTTTCACCTCGCTGGCATGGCAGCAGCTCGTGCTCCATAGTCTCCATATCCACGATCATATCCAGCCATACCCATCCTGTCCATGCCATAAGCAGCATCACCACGGTCTCTCCTCTCCATGTACTCAGCAGCTCTGTCCATGTACGCGCCATCTCTGCGATCGTCATAACCATAACCATTTCTCATGCCACCCATACCGGGTCCAGCAGGGGGTACAGGACCAGGTCCTGCAGGTACAGGACCGGGACCCACAGGGCCAGGTGCTACAGGGCGACGGTCAAAGTCAGGACGTCCATAAGGTTCAGGACGTCCAAAGGAGTCAGGGCGACCGTAAGGACCAGCGCGGTCGTAGGGTCCAGATCGCATTCCTCCGTAACCCATTCCTCCTCGCATAGGTCCAAATCCACCACCACGGCCACCTCGTGGGCCTCCAAAGCCACCTCGACGGGGACCAGGGCCTCCCTCCCGGTTACTCCTTTTACCAGTAGAAGCCTGACAAAGAATAAATTTGAAGTCAACAAAATATTATGGTGTAACAATTGTTAGTTGAAAGCATGAATGGTTACAAACAATACCTCAACGCTGATCAGTGATCCCATAAAGTTGCAATTGTGAAGGCCTTCAATAGCTTGAGAAGCCTGTTCTTCAGTTTTCATGTGGACAAAACCATAGCGGTTTAAGATGTCACATTCTGTTACAGTTCCATAACGCTCAAACAAGCGGCGTAAGTCTTGGGACTGGGCATTTTCAGGGAGACGACCAACAAAGATCTTTGTCTTAGGAGGGTTCGAAGAGGTCTTGATATCTGCAACAGACAGACCATAAAGCACACCATACCATAAAAACGAACACGATTTCAGACACACATAACCTTACCAAAGGTGAATAAAATTTTTCAAGAAATATAGACATCATAAAAGTGATAGAAGGCCCGCTGGGGTCAATGAAACTCCAGAATGACGACCAACAAAGATCTTTGTCTTAGGAGGGTTCGAAGAGGTCTTGATATCTGCAACAGACAGACCATAAAGCACACCATACCATAAAAACGAA